GCTGCTGCACTGAGTTACCTGGGAATACACCAGGGTGCCTTGGTGGCAAAACAGGGGGAGCCCAAACCCTGCTGGGACTTGGAATATATCCATCTAACTTGCCTAACTCTCCAGCTTCCAGATACAGGTGGAAAGGGTGTCTGCACAGCCTTATTGGGGGGAAAGGGGAAGGATTCCTTCTCTAGGTACCAAGGAAGTGTGGTACCTTCTGGCACTGCTGCCCATCTTTGACAGACACCAGTAATCCATGATCACAGGATGGTTTGGATTGGAATGGACCTTAAAACTCCTCTCATTCCAACCCCCAGCCATTGGCAGGACACCTTCACTGGTCCAGGTTGCTCAGAATCCATCCAGCCTGGTCAGCCTTGGCAGAAGCCAAGGAGGGAACACTTCACAGAGGTCTGCTTGTGATCCCACATGTGCTTCCTCTTTCCAGGGTGCTGCCTACTGTGAATCCAGTGGGAGCAGGGACACCTGGTACAGGGAAGGACTGGGATTTGGGGTGGTGGGGGAGGATTAGTATCTACATCATCACCTTTTGGCTCACCTGGCCACGGTGGGGCCCTCAAATGAGAGCACTTGGCAAAGGGTAATCTTTATTTCCCCAAAACCCGAGCTGTCAAATTAAGGTTATTTTTTTTAAATTAGATGAGATTTTTGGCTTAGGTTCCAGTTAAGCTAGTGTGGAAGGCTACACATTTCTGGAGGTTTCCAGCAGCACTTCAAAAGACTAAAGTCGAGTCTCTAGAAAGCCGGCAGGGAACACTATACCCACCCATGGAATTTATCCCACTCTAATTTGGCTCTAGGCACCTAAAGTAGACACAAATTTGGCAGTCTAATAAGTGGGTGGCCAGTCCAATACTTTATAGAGTAGCAACCATTGACCTCAGTTAATTTTCTTTCAACAGTTGATCTCTTTCTACACTCATTCCACCCACGTCCTGATTTTTATCAGGCCTTCAGTCTCCCAAAGAATCTCTCTCAGAAAGGGAAGCAGAACACATTCCCCTCCTTGACTTAGATGTGTAAGTGAAACCAAATCAGGCAACAAGAAATGGGCAACAGTGGCATTTGCCTGTGGGGCCTGGAGCTGAAGGCCTGTGTGCAGTGGGGCTGCTGAAGCATTAGCTCCATTTGCTTTTTGTCTCTCAGCCCCCCACACCTGCCTGCCATTTAGCTGCCTCTGAAGGCTGGCCAAGGGACAGCAGATCAAATAATAAAAGCCACATTGAAGCAGTGTTTCAGCTGAAACAGTATGAGTGGAGGCGAGATGGGGCTTGGAAAAGGCTCCCTGTAAAAGAGCCCACACGTACATGTGAGAAGGTCATTAACTCGTGCCTTGTGCTATCTTTGCAGTCTCCGCTCCCTCTCTCTCAATTATTACATCAGAAGGAAATGAGAGAGCACTTTGCCAAATACTAATGGACTTGATGTTTTCATAATCTCAAGTGCACAACAATCAGAGCTGTTTATTTTCCAAAGAAGATGGGAACCAGGGGAGGAGGCTGAAGACTGTGCCATTCTGTTAAGGAGGGGGGAAAAAACCCTTATGGAGGAGAGCTGAGACTGAAAAACAAGCATCTAGGAACACTCATTTCTGGGATAAAGGTAGTGAGAGTGGCCAGATACTGTCCTGTGCTCACTGACAGCACAGGCCCAAGCTTGCAGAACACTTCAGAATCCCATTTCAACTTGACTTCGGAAGCTTTAGTCTGCTTTTGTATGTCTGAATGTAATGATGCTGCTCCATATTTGTCACTGAAGAGTAGCCAGAAGCATTCCTGGGTGAAACGTGGTGCTGAGGGGACAGAGGATGTGACTGAGCTGACAGGAGGGGTCAGTGCTGTTTGCTGTTCTCAGCAGCCAGTTTCCCCACACCCTGAGCCTGTGTGAAATCCCAGGGCCTGTTTACAAAGGGACTTTAGTAGGGTCCTTGTGCACCCTTACATTTGTGTTGGGGTACAAATACTGGAGTTCCCCCACAGAGTCAGCTGGGACTGTGAGGTTTCTGAGCTGCTGGAGCCACCAGGCCGTTCCCCCGGGGAAGGACTGACTTCCCTTTGGGGTGTGATTCAGGAGCTATGGAGGGTGTTTTTTTTTTTCCACTAAGTGCAGCCCAAATCATCAATAGGAAGATAAAGACACTTCATGTTCTTCCTTGCTGCTTAGAATTTGGGATCTTCTGCCTCTGACAAGGACCTTAAAATCTCAGTCCCCATTAGAGCAGAACAGACACCATTAACTGCAATGTACACAGGGCTGATGTGGAAGTGATTTACCCAGTCACACAAGTGAATTCTGAAAGGATGCCACAAAAGCACCTTAGGTTCTCACACATAACCCTTCAAAGGTCATAACCAGAAAAAAGGCTTTGCATAATTTGAGAGAGTGTTTGGGCTGAACTGGGACTTAAGGATGTTCCCAGTGTGTGCTTGTACTTATTTATCCCTATTATCCACTGCCAGTGTTTGTCTGTACAGGCAAATATTCTGAGCTTTTGACAATTCTGCACTGAGTTAAGAAGTAATGGGGCTCTTAACTACCACTATTTAAGCATTTTTCACCCACTTGCCAGTTACATTCCAGCTCTCTTGTATAGCAAAGAGCTTACAGTCTCGTCTCGTATTATCTTCATACTGGTGTTGCGTGTCCTGATAGTAAAACAAAGGGCTGCCTCTCTGAGGAACGAATAACACCAATGTCGAGTAGGAGAGAAGTTGCTGTCCCCGCTGTCAAAAATCCGGGGGCCGTTCCGAACTGGTGGAGGGAGCGCTGGAGGAGCGGAGCCGGTGCCGTTCTGTGCCGGCGGCTCCCGGGAGGTGTCGCCGCAGCCCAGGGCTGGCGGGCCAGGGGCGGTGCGGCAGCACCGGGCCGGGGATGCTCGGGGGACACCGCAGTTCCAGGGGTTGGGAGCAGAGCGCTGCAGGCCTCCTTTGTGGCGCTCTGACGGGTTGAGGGCCCCGTGCAGGTCTCACTGGCACGGTCGGTTGTGAGGGATCTGCCTGGGCAGGGCTCTACCGACCCTGCTGCCTTCTGTGTGGCTGCATTAAAGCCTGATAAATGTTCAAAACCGGGGGGATTTTGGACTCGGTCTGACAAAAAAAAAAGAGGTTTTGCATACGGATGAGACCTGATAAAGAGCTGTTTTACTCATTGAAACAGATGTATTTAAATAAGGCTTTCACTGAGGATGTGCTTGTTGTAGAATATTGGGACTGTGTCATGAGTGGAGGCAGTGTTAGACATCTTGTGGACTATGTCATTAATTCCATGATTTTAAGGCATCATAAGTGTCATTAGACTTTAATGAGACAGTTATGTATGGCTTGTGTTTGTGGCCATTGATGGTACTGCTTTGTACTTCCAAACAGTACAACAGGGGGTCAGGACTGGCTGGGCTTGTGCTGTTTTCAAACTACAAAGTGGACACCAATGGACAGTGTAGGGTGGTGACTTAGAGCCACACACAACAGATGGAAAGGTTTTCTGTACATCTCTGTGCAGGAATATTTTAGCATCAAGCTTTAAACATGGTTTAAAGCATCAAGCTTTAAACATGGTAAATATATGGTGCTGGTATATGGGAAGAGACTAATGTGGCTGGGCTAGGAAGTGGTGATTATCCCCCACACAAAATTAAACTGTATGTAGGAATACTGAATGTGGATGGGCTGCCTGAGTCACTCAGAAAAAAAAAAAAAAACCAAAACCAAAACAACATCCTACACTGCAGAGACAATACTTAGAGGGAGGGAGGTAAAAAAATCCCCAAAACAATGCAAGAAACCCACCAGCATCCTAAACCACTGGGCAATCACTCCAATCCTTCAGAGCTGATAGCTGGAAATGTACCTGAGCCACATCATGAATAGAAAATCCATCCTTCAAGAGGCAACACGTTGGGATGCTCTGTGAGCCATGTGGATTCTCCCTGTGTTCCACGTCCGTGCTACTCATGAGAATCTCCTGGAAATCTCTAATTCAATGAAATCTACCTTTTCCCATGTCTTGCTGGAGTGTTCCTTCAATCACAATTAAGAGTTTCTTTAACAATTCCCACCCAAAATTGTATTATGCCTCAAGCATTATATAATGCTTCAAGCAACCCAAGGTTAGAGGATTTTCCCCCTCCATCTCTCACAGTGTATTTCTGCCCTTCACACCCACCAGTGACCCCACCAAAGCACCTTGTTTACTGTTTTCAGATTCCTTCTCCTAAGTATTTCTGGATGCAGCATTCAGGAGTTCTCCTTCCAGGAGTTTCACTTGCATTTTTAGTGCTCTAAGATTTCTATTAACTTTGCCCCCCCTTGTTTCCTCCCCTAAGAATTTAAGTGCATAGCTCAGGCAGGTACTTGTCTCACTCTGAACAGTGGCCAAGGGCTATTTAATGATTTGGATTTATACAAATCACAGTGTCTGCCTACCTAAGTACCTGTGGTACACCGTGAAAGCACAAATTCTTCTGATAGAAACAGGTTTGTGTTTAAAATGAACCAATGTACACTTAAAACTTTGCTCAGTGAGGGCCAGATGAAAGCTGTCCAGCCCAGGTGAGCCACCTCCCAGCTGCCAAACCTTTCCTTCTTCCTTGGACAGAGTGTGGGGGAGTGTTAGTTTTTGGTTAAAACCTTTTTTTTCAGAAGTAACAGCGAGGGACAGGTAGTGCTGTGGTTTCAAGCTCTTTTGCCTTCAGCTACTTTTTAGATCATAGTGAGTTTTTTACATGTTAAAATTTTCCTCCTGAAGCTTCTCATGGAGCACTGGGATTTCTGAAATATCACTGTGTGATTGCTGCCCCTCACCTAGGACAACTAAAAATCCCTTAAAACCTCATTTTACACTTTTTTTTCCTATTGCATCCTCTCAATGGTGTGTGTGTAAAGATGCCCTGGAAATGGAACAAGTCCATACGTTTCAATGCTGGTGCCAAAAAGAGGTTACAATTGCAAGCAACCAGTGTAATTTCTCTTGGCATTAAATGATTCTCTCACCACTCAGATGGTCAGGTGTCTGTACTGATGAGCACCTTTGTTGCCACAGTGTTGGGCTGAGCAGGGCTCTGTGTCTCAGGGTTAGGATCTGCTTGCTGGGGCTCACCAGGCTGTGCTTCCACTTGTGGTCCTCCTGCACCATGGGACTAAACACAGGCCTGTGGCTGTGGAGAACCCTGAGGAAAGAAGAAAAGGGTTGATCCAACTGAAACATTGGAGTTGTTCTCCAATAAGCTATTCCTGAATAGAAAATGGAAGTTACGGTACCTCAGAATGGGAATGGCCTGTTGGCAAATCTTACTCTCATTAGAGGAAAATATTTTAAATAGTCATCCCTTCCATGAAAAGTTTGGAGTTTGATGGGTTTTAATTCAATTATTTTCAATGAAACTATAATTGTGGGTGAATAAAGCCCACAGAAAGATTGTGGCTCCCCTTGAAAAGTATAAGTACAGGAGTGGAGATCTGGTGGAGAGGCATTGACAGCTAAATATTTGAAAGAAAAACACGTAAGGAAGAAAAGCAGGTCTGCTGCTTTTTGCCAGCTTTGGAACAGTGTTGTCCAGCTGCAGCATCACCCATCCGAGAATAAAAAAATATCTGAAGGTCACATTTTCATCCTCCCGGAGCACTCGAATGTAGGGGACTGATCCAGGTCTGCTCCTCTGCGCGGCATTCTTCCTTTTGTGCATCACCATGGTAAACAGGGAGGGTTGCCAGGAGCCCGGGCGCATTGTTTGTCTCGCTCCCTCCTCCGCTCTCCCCCTCCCTCCCCAAATGCTTTCTCGGTGATTAGTTACTGAGTCGAAGGGGCTCCAGTTACGGCGCAGCCTGCCATCCCTCCCCGGTTCGCTGCAACTAATATCCCACCTGCGATGATAAGGTTTAAACTTGTTTAATCTCCCGGCTTAGCCGTGGTGTTTTAATATTTTTAAAATGGTTGTTTCAGAAAGAGAGGGATTTAAACAGGTTTTGAATAAATAATAAAAACCCTTCTCACAGGTTGCAATGCAGGCCGGGAGGCATGAACCATTTTCATCAGGTCAGGTTTCACGTTGGGTTATCCCAAGGTGGCCTGACTTTGTGGCTACGGATTTACAATGAAACAGTCAGATGCAAAGCAGTTTATGGAGGAGAAACTGCTTTAATAATGCATTTCCTGCTCAGCAAACAGCAGATACAATGACAGTCACGGGGAATGGGAAAGGGAACGAAGTCTCGCAGGAAAGGAACCAGTTTTCTCCCTGGAGTTTAATAACTTTTTTTGCTCCTACAGTGTATTTGGGGAGATAAAGGTTGACCTGAGAGACATCAGAATGTAGAGCTTTGGAGGGAGAAAAAAGACAGGTTTGAACATCTTAGGCCTGATGACTTGAAGCGCCATCTGCATTGTTTCAAGTTTAAGGGAAAGGGAAGAGGTTCTCATTTCATGGTCAAATTTCACTGGCATAAACCTAAAACTCTTCCTCTGGAATAATCTGGCTGAAGTGCTTTGTGCTGGTGTGTAGAGCACGTTGATTTGTCTCCCAGTCCTTGCTCCCTGGACTGTGTTCAACCCCAAGAGGAGCCCTGACAAGCTCCTGATTTCTCTGAGCCAAACCAAAGCCATAACACCAGGTTTGCAGAAGAATCTTGTCCTCTCAGTCCGAGCCACTGGGGTGCACATCAGGCTTACAGAGGCACATGTAAGACTGGGATTGTAAAGCCTGGAAAAGTAGGCAAGACTTTGATAGCTTTGTTCAAGGCAGTTCTCAGTTCTCCTGCATTCTTAGGCACAATTTGTGTCAAAATTGGGGTAAAGCAAAGCATAGTGACTAAAGCAGAGGGGGCCTGCCCTTTTTCAGGGGCAAAAGCCTGCCAGAAAGCAGGGCTCTGATCTCTGGCTCAGCTCCAGAAGAGCCCAAGCAGCACCAGCTGGATGACCTTAGTGCCACACAGTTATTTTCCTGAGGTTGCAGAAAAGAGAACCTGGGCACACAGCTGTGGTACAAATAGTTTCTATTCTTTCTGCTTTGGCAAAAAGCCTTGTCAAACACAGTGATTCCAAGTGATCTCAGAAGGGAACTTGGCTGCATCAGCTTCAAGTGAAGCCATCGTATCTCTAAGATGGGTCTGGCCAAGCTCTGAGCTTCTGCTTGCACAGATGAATTTGGAAGTGCAGCTCATCTAAACTAATTAGCTGTGATTAGGTAAGTTAGCCATGTCACCCCAGGTGACACCTCCTTACTGACCTGGCTGGACACCCAAGTCACTCTGGGGTGGCAATGAGGACAGGGAAGAGAAAAACATTTTCCTTGGTATGTGAAACCCTCTCTGACACAGCTAAAATTACCTGTGAGCTCCTGCAGGAAGCTTTTATGGACAAAACAGCAAATAAGAGCAATTTACTTCATAGCATATAATCATATTTCCAGTATTCTTGCCTATTTGACATAACCACAGGGCAAAAACATGTAAAATCTAGATGAGATTGGGTAAATACATAATAATAACAAACCACTGCCTCCATTGCACCTTCTATTTGAGGGAGAAGAGGCTGTTCCAGCATGATTTCAAAAGCACCACTCTAGTTTTGCATCACCTTGAAACAGTGAAGTATTATCCCTATCTTTCTAGCAATGCCACACAAGTCAAGTAGGGACTTGCTCTGTGTGCTGCTCACTCTGTGAGAAGCCCTGTGGGCAGAACCTAAATACCCTCAACTGCAGTTGTCTACCTCGACATAAAAGCATCCTTCCTCACCAAAACCAAACAGCCCCACACCTGAATTCTTCATGGGAAAGATGAGGTATGGCAGGCTGAGGGGGATGTACGAAACAGGAGAGATTATTTTAAAAGGAGGAGAGGGATAACAGTGAAACCAGGACTCAATTTTCTACTAAAATGAGTGGAGAAAAGAGCTGAATAAATAAAGATAGGCAGATGACTTTGAGGATCCTTAAAGGGATGAGGGCTTAAAATATCAATATTAAAGTGAAACTTGAATGGCAGGGCAAGCAAACATCCTTCCATATGTTCAGAATATTACATAAGAGAGCCCATCCACATCCCTGGTCATCTTGGGTGTGGAAGAAGCACTTCCTTCAAGGGCCCTGGGGGAACTAAAGAACTCTGTTTTTCAGTCCCTTGAGTGTCATACAGAGAGTTCAAACTTATGAGCTTAAGAATGAGCTGAAGTCTAATTTTAGAGAAAGAGAAAGGTCTGGTCAAATGTTATTTAGTGTTTAGCTGGGACATCACTGAATGAGGCAGAGGCAGGAAAGCTCTGTAGTTTGCCACTGGATACCTGTATGAATACAGATCAGCTCTGCTGATTGCCTGAAAAGCAAAGATCTGGATCATATTTATTACATGTGAGGCACTACATTCTAAGGCAGCATTTCATACAACAGGCATGGGCTGCTGTGGTGCTTCAGCTTTTCAACTACCAACTGTTCCCCCCTAAAGTTTTAGGTTCAGTTTTTCAATGTGTTCTAATTGTAGTTGTTTGGTTTCAGGTGATACAGATAAGGAGAGATTCAGGGGGTTTTTGGTGCTGTAGGTTATATATTTGGGTTGTGCCCTGCTGTGGCTGCTCTGAACTAGGTAATACGAGCATCACTGGAGGGCAATCCCAGGGGAATCCCACTCCTGATGCCTGGAATGCTCACATGTGTGAGGGGACACACATGGCAATGCAACTTGCTGGAAAAGGACATTTTTTCTTGCCAAACCCCTAATATGGGGGCATTCCTGGGGGGCAGGTGGGAGGTTATCTGTGTGCAACCCCTCCCCCAGTAAAACCAGTTTAGACACCACCACCCTTGAGTAAGCAAGAGGTGGGCAGAGAAATGGATGGAGGATTGATTTGTCCAGTAAATCACACGTCACCAAGAGGATGAGGAACACAATTCCATCTGATCCTGCTCCTTCTGGAGCTGTTGAGCACAGTGCCTTTCATGTCAGGATGTGGGGGTGATGCTCTGTGTCCTGTGCAGGAAAAATAAGCCATAAGTACCACTGAGTAACTTGTGTGTTGCAGCAGGAGGAGTTGAAATTTGTTTGGGTGGGGTTTTCTTTCTGGCTGAGAGTGGAAAATGTGATGGATGCAGATCTAGCTGCACAGTACAGGAGCCATTTCAACTTGTGGAAACTGGAACCTGCACAAGTGGGTCTAGAGGGCCACCAGTCTGGTTTGCAAACAATTCAGCAGGAGCCAGCAACTGAATATGACCAAAACAAAAAGAAGCAAACCTGTGGGAAGAGCCATTTGTGAAGCAGGAATTATTCCTTGTTTAAGTGGGAGGTCACTGGAGTGTCTAGAATTGGAAAGGTGACAAGTGACGTTCGGTGAAGGATTAGGGCAGAATTTTTTTTGGCAGTTCTGATTTAGGAGTACCTGCTCCTGGCCATGGCTTTCAGCTGTGCTGGCTAACTGTTTGTGGGGCAGCAGAATAGGCTGGAGCACTGAAATAGCTGCCAAAAATAAAATTGTCTGCTTCAGCTCATGATCCAGCCACTGTAAAGCCAAATTCTAGAAGCTCAGATAAGTAGCTGGGAGTAAAGGGATGGAGGAATCTATGGAAATATCTCCTTCAGAGGAGTTTGCTGCTGATGGAAGGATGCTGTGGACATGCCCTTTTAATTTTTAGGGATCTGATCTCCAAATCACATACTCATATGAGTAAATCCTACTCACAAAGACCTTGTTGACTTCCAACAATCCCCCAAGAATGCAATTTGTATCCAAACCAGCTGAGACTTCAGCTTCTGCATTAGAAGAACACTTTTGTTCAGACTTCATATTTCAAAACACATTAGAAACAAAACTATATTTTCCCTGATAAATCTAGCCCAGTGCCCTCTGTGTCAGAGGCTCTGCATTGTTTGTGGAGAAAGCAGCTTCTCCCTGCCAGCCCCCAAGTGTCCTCAGGTGCAGGGCATGCATATAATTTGCTCTTGTACCTCAATCAGTGAGCAAGCAGAAAAATAGAGGAAATTAATTTCTCTCCTTCCTTTTCCCTCCGTCCAATTTTTTACAAGAGCCTTTTAAAAATGTTGCTTACTAATATGATTACACACAGCAGGGGTTTGTAACAACCTCATCTTAACCACCTCTGCCCTTGCTGTGGAACGGTTGGTTGCCTTGGCAATCTTCTCTCTGTGGTGCTCAGGAGCTACAATTACAGTGCTTTTC